TTCTTTCTTTCTTTCTTTCTTTTTCTTTCTTTTTTTCCTTCCTTTCCTTCCTTTCTTTCTTTCTGCCAAATCCCAATCTTTCCATCAATATTATTTATGCTCTCAAGGTTCTTTGCCTTTTCCAAATTCTGATTTATAACTGTGGGTTAATAGATCTTCTTACCAGGCTTTCATCTCCCCTCTGCATGCTTCTGCTCAGCTGCTTTGGCCTGAAGCCAACTTCTTGTGTAGCAATGTTGCCATGCTGCTGCCCCAACTCTGATTCAGAGGGAAAGTCTCTGACCTATGAGGGACCTATTGCACTTCCTCTGGGTCTGATGAGACACTGACCCTTCTTCATCCCTCCCCCCAGGGAGGTTCTGATCCAAAAATGGATCTTGGAATTGGTTTGTCAGACAGGGTTCACCCAACATCTGTTTAGCTAGAGAACTTCTGGTCGACTCCTTTACAAATTTCTTAAGGAAGCTGAGACACCAGAAAGACTTTAATCTCATCTCATAAATTTCAGAATACTATCTGAAAAATAATCAAATCTTCCTCAATACCATACTCAGTGACATCTGACTGAGAGCCCATCAACTGGCACTGTATCACCATATGACTTTCTTGGTGACCAATATTTAAAACAATTCCAACTATGAGGGTTTTTTTGGTATTATTTAGAATATTGGTAGTAAAGCCCAGGGAGATGGGAAAGATTAAATAATTATCTGCTTCTGAAATTTCTCTCCCGTGCCAGTTGATTCATCTTGCAAGGTTGCTAAAATCTCTGATAGTAACATTTCGTGTGGGAGGAAAGGAAATACTTTTGCTTCAGATCCCATTTGTCTCCGTCACAGTATACAACTTGGTTTATTTTCCTGCTTCTTACCAAAGGCTGTGGCAATTTATTGTTGGTGTCATATAGAACCAAGTTATAGGTAGCATAAATGTCTTAGCTTAAGATACTGATCGTATCACAGTGATTCAGTAATAGAAGATCCTCAGAGTTTTGTCTTTACTACCACAATTCTGTAAGACATTGTCACTGAAGCAGCTGGTGATTTACATGGTTTACACCATCAAAAGTAGGTGTTTACCTGACAGGTGAAAAAGTGATGCAGAAATAACACAGCTTTTATGATCTCCTTTGGATTCTACATAGAGCATAAGTGCCTGATTTTGAAATCAACTGTTAAAATGAAACTTTAATAGGGTAACTGAAATAAGGATTTGCACATAGAATAAAACTCAAAATTGATCAAGTTATTCATATCATAAATTTGAATACTGAATGAAACCCAAAGCCAATAATCCTTTGCTGATGGCAAGTTTCAATCACATATCCATCATACATCCAGATGCAGTACGCCAGAGATGGTTTATTAAGGTTGAGTGAAGCTTCAAATAGGTGCTTCACTTTTATGAAGCTTTGAGCAAAAGATGTCCTCAAAAGTGCTTCAAAAGTAAATGAGGTTCAGTACCAATTTAGAGCACATTCTGCACTCTACACTGGAGAGTATTCAATTGTTCTTCTTCTGCAAAGCATGCCCAATGGGACAAGATGAAGCTTTTTTTCCCCTGCAGTGTTAAATCAGGAATCTTCCAGGCTGCACAGCTAACACCATCACTCAACAAAACTCTCTTTGTTTAGCCACATAACACATGACAGCCCACCAAATTCCAAGAGGCTTCATGTTGTGAAGCTCAACCACTAGACAGCTGGAATGTGGTTGAAAATGTATTTCACGTGCTGTTGTCCTCTCTCAATCATTCACTAGGGGTCAGAAGACAACCATCAAGAAAGAATTGTTGCCAGTGCTTCAACTGTCTAGGTATGAAGAGCCTTGGGATGCAACAAGGAGGCTCTAGACTAACTGCTTCCACTACACAATGATACTAGTCACCACTATTGTGGCGACATGCCTCCAAACATGTTGTGTATATATGGAGAAGGTTTTAAGGAAGAACTACCCTTATGTGCTGACAAGAGATTTCTCCCATAGCATTGCCATGCACAGACTGAGTTCTACTAGACTTGATGGAGTATTTGTTGAAGCCATCTTCCTGTACGCCTTTAAACCACCACTCCTGAAGCTATCCAGGGCACCATTATTTTAGGAAGAAAGGTGATAGGAGTCTTCTCCTGCAGTACTGAAGATGTGAGGTAACTCAAATTGTTTGTTGAAGTGAATTAACTGGTCTCTTTGCCTCCTCAAAGCAAGTATCTCCTAAGGCTGACCCATCATCAAAATGAATGTACATCTTTTAGCACAAAAACAACTTCAGAGGATCCAAAAGCCAAGCTGCCAACTCTGTTAAAAGCACTAAATTAGGCAGGCCAGAGGTTTTAAACTTCTGAATATGCAAATTAAACATATGCAATGCAATTATCTCTGCATTTTGTAGAAGATTTTTAATACTGATAATGAATAAAAATGACAATGGCCTGCTCTTAAATTATGTTCACTTGTATTTTTGAAAAGAATTCACAATGTAAGATTTCTGGCAGAATCTAAAAGGAACTCCAGTTTCAATTATTTAACTGTGAAACTAATTATCTTTCAGCAAAAAAAAAACCTCCACAAACTTTTCAAGCAATTTGCTCAAAGTTTTTTTGAGGTTTTTAAAAAACATAATTATAGATACCACCTTTTTTTGCTTTTCTTGAAAAAAAGTATTTATCCCATAGTGTGTTTGTAAATATTATCAATTTAGAGCCCCTAGCTTGACAGTGTTTGAAACATACAGCACTGAAAATGATACTTGTCCTTTTGTTATTCTTCTTCCTTGCGATTAATACAGCTGCATAACTTTAAATGACTTGAAAAATATATATTAAGTCACTTCTTAACACTGTCATTTACTACAACTAATTTTCAGATAGTAGGCCATAAGCTAGGAGAAAAAACAGATCTATCAAGAATTTAAACATAACAAAAAGCCCCTTGGCCACAATTTTGCTCACTTACAACAAAAGGCAGCTTTAACTTAAAAACATATTTTTCACCATAGATTCATAAATATATAAAACGATCTTTAATGTCTTCTGTCTCATGAGTATATTCAAAGGAATTGAGAGCTCAAACCTTTTAAAACTGTCATGAGTTGAATTTCTGAAATTAGCTATTTGTTAAACTTAGATATTAAGCATAGATATTAAGGATGCACAAAATAACAATAGCACTCAGACTTATATACTTACAGCCCTCTCTCTAAGTGGTTTCAAGAGTCACATATTGTCCCCAATAATCTGGGAACAATGGAAGGCTGAGTCAGAACTGAACTCTTGGCAGTGAGCAGGCCCGGAATACTACATTTTAATCACTGTACCACTACAGAGAGAAATGCAACATTTCTCTTCTGGACCATGCTGTTCCAGGAGTGGTCCACTGATTTTCTGAATATCAATCCTCTGAACCAGCAGTTATTTGTTCAAACACGATGTTCAAGATGAAAAAGAGTTGTTTGGGTTGAATAGCCCTGGAACTCCATAAAACTGTTTTATAAATCCCCCACAAATGGGCAGATTGGGTCCAGAGTAGAAATAGAATAGTAGATTTTTACCAAATCTATTAGATATAACTGCTTTCTGTATATGTTCTGATGCACTGTAAATTTTCCTCAGATTACACTGGTGACATTGATGCAAATGTTTAGTCCTGACTTGTTTGTCTCTTACTTCCCTCCCAGCCCTTTGCAATTTGAAAGTGCCTCTGCTTTGCTCAAGAGCAACTAAATCCAGCCAGTAACATCATTTGGAGTGAATCTATCCAAATCTTGAAACTTGAGATGATTTTGAATTGGTGAGAACAATTAGTGGACTTTTTTGTGATGATGAGGAAGAGAAAAATGAGGGGGAAAGGGGGATTCAAGAAAGATAGTAATAGATATCCAGCAATTCATAATGTAGATCATTTTCTTAATTTTTATAGACCAAGAATGGGTAATAGTTGGTATATCAAGGGCCAAGGCTTTGCTTTCAACCTTCTAGAGAACTCACAGAAAAAACATAACCATAGCTCTGTTGATTATGCTATGCTGATCCCTTAATTTTGAAGGGGGAAAAAAAACCAAGAAGAATTTCAAAATTTACCAATTTCTCTACCAAAAATCATCATAGGATGCTTAGAATCAGAAAATACATGGAAGGAGGAACAGGGCCTGCATGTAATCCACAGACTATCCATCCATTACAGATATATAAGTACCAGAAAAGCTCAAATATTGTCAAGTAAATTTTCCAGTCCTTAGAAAAAAACAACTGTGTTGAGTTCCTTTTACAACAGTGGGAGACCTATTATGTCAAGTAGCACAGACAAGAGGGATTTATATAAGCTGTAGAAATACAATCCTACCAAGTGAGGATTGATTGTACTTACTCCATGAAGTGTTTTCTTGAGCATTCATCATCAACTCGTAGGCGTTAACCCACCAGGGCTTATAGTTCAACAGACGGTGAATAGCTTCATCTTCAAAAAAATCAGCTCTGGAAAAATAGAAAAGCTTGTGAATTTGATATGAGGATTGTACACATGTAGTCACAGTAATCCTACCTTAGAGACATCTCAGCCACCTACATCAGCTTTAGACTCTTAAAAGAGTACAACTTCAATACAAACTGAGATTTCAATCTAAGTATGAGAGAGATTTAAAATACTCATCATTTTGGTACACTTAAAAGTATGTCTGACTTGATATATTTCAATATACGGTATATATGCATATTAGTCTTCCAATATTAGACCATGATCTATAAAAATTAGAATTAGTTTTGTTTTGAACAACCCGGTTTGAGAAAGCAGCCACAGAAGATTAAAGAACCGCAGTAGATAAATTATATTGGGAAATGTATATACCTGTGATGGTGAATCTATGGCATGCGTGCCACCGGTGGCATGCAGAGTCCTCTCTGCGGGCATGTGAGCTGTCGCCCCAGCTCAGCTCCACCATGCATACGTGCGGTGTCCAGCTGGTTTTTGGGTCTCTGCCGTGCATGCGTGGGGCGTGGCACATGTGCGGAGGTTGCACACACATATACAGAGGAGTACTGGGGAAAGCGTGGGGGGGTGGTGCCACACACATTGCATTATGGCTGTGCTTTCAGCATGTGACAATAAAAAGGTTAGCCATCACTGCCATATACACGTGTACTGTAGGTGTCTACAAACATGATCATGTAGCCTCAATCTCTCATACAAAGATCTCTGAAATCTCCTGTTGTATTTTTTTCTCCTGAAATTTATGTGCTCTATTTCCTAAAGCAATAAACAGTACATCATTTTCTCTTGAAAAGTTAATATAAATCTATGCTTTTTCCTGGGTTATGAAGTGCTGCATCTGCAACAATTTTTTTAAAATTTTTTAATGGTCTGGAAAGCTTCCAAGCGAAGTGCTAGTCTACAGCCATCTCCCTTTTTTACTCTACAAAACATTTTACTGGCGCACCTGAGATTTTTTTTGTCAATATATGGAACTTAGGCAGTTTCAAGGAAGCTTATTATAAGTTTCAGGACTGTAACAGCCCAAACATCTAACTAAATCAAATCCTGCTAATCAACCAGGGTTACTTCATCATAGAGAAGGGGATAAGGTAAAAATGTTAATTAGACCTGTAGCTTTTGATTGTGCAAAAGTAGATCCTGCTGTAATTATTTCATTAGGAATAGCAAAACCTTTTAAATTAAATTTATTAGGGAAAAGTTTTATTTTTTCCTTTTTTTTAGTAATTCTTAAAGTGGATTAAATATGTCTTCAAAGTTGCAGAAGAGAACTAGAGGGATTTTGTTTAACAGTTTTTATTGGACCAGGATTGTCCTCCCCACCCTCGTTATTTGGAACTTCAAGATACAGATATGGCCAAAAGACTGATACCCCTCCACTTTCTCTGAAAGAATCCCAATATTTTTATTTTTCACATTTCTGAACTGCCATCTTCCTCAGAGAGGGACTCTCTGAGGAGGTATACAATCAAATGTTAACAAGGCAGTATACAATAAAATGTTAAAATATAAAACAGTATATTTTTATCTCAGATTGGATCCTGCTACATTATCCTAGGACATGTTTGCCTTCATTCATAAAACAATAAATGTAAAAGCTAAAAAAATTAGGAGCAATAGTGATTAAGCACTATGAAGATTAGTTCAAAGGTAGGGTTTTCAGGGGACTATCTAGCTTCATGGCTCTGGGCTCCTCTGGGCTCCCCACGCGAGGCCATCCTTTAACTCCTTTTGCAAGGTCAAGATAGAGGTAGGGGGGCTCTTCAGTTTGATGTTTGCAGGTAAGGAGTATACATTCCATTATATTCTTTCTTTCTTCTGGGAGAGATCATGGTCACTTACAATAGTGGGGGAAATGTTTTCCTACTTTTATCTACAAAACAATGACTTTGATGCCGAGAAAGTGTGACTGGCATAAAATTGGCAAATGAACTCTGTTGTGGCCCAGCAGGATCCGGTTGAGCTGCTGATGGACTCGGATAGCGAGGAACCATGAGTCTGCCATGGAAGATGTGGAGGATCCTGTGCAGGGTTCAGACTCAGAGCAGGGACCAGAGAGGCTGGTTGGCCACCAGGAGGCGCCCGAGAAGTAACTCCATGGGCAGTCTCATAGAAGATAATTAAGCACCAGTGGTTGTGGATTGGCCCCTCCCAAGAGGGTTTATACCTCCCAAAGACCTATTAGATCCCACAGACTAGGCCTCCTCCGGATTCCATCTGCCGGCCAATGTTGGCTGGCGACTCCCCGGGGGAGGGCCTTCTCTGTGGCTGCTCCAGCCCTATGGAACGATCTCCCTGTTGAGATCCGGACCCTTACTACGCCTTCCGCAAAGCAACTAAGACCTGGCTGTTCCGGCAGGCCTGGGGCTGTTGAATTATCCAGTCCCATCTGATGTTATGACTGTTG